CATACACTTTTGTTCTTCAGTCTAACAGTGATTAAAATATATTAATATACCATTTAAAAGTTATAAATGTTTTTATTCAAATAAATTTTATTCTATGAAAAATTATTACAAAACTGTTTATTTTTTAATATATAATAAGTCTTATGTTTTAGGAAGATAAATATTTAACTGTTTTTTAAACTGATAAAAATGGGCTAAGATAAATTGTAAAGGTATAAGTGAATATTTTATATTAAAATCATCTTAAAATACTTAACAAAATGTACAAGTAGTCATTTTAGCCCAAAATCTCATGGTGTGCAGAGACTCAGAGGCACCCACATACATAAAACTTCATAAAGTGTGTAAAAACATTTTTTAAAAGAGGATTATTGTGGGATATATACGTGGGCACCTCAAAAAATAGCACAATGTATTTTTCCAAAGAAAAAGAAGAGTCTTTGGAAACTTCTTGGAATATGGCAGTATTTTGACACTGTCAGGGTATAATTTTAGTTGTTTACATAAAACTATTTTTACTTGAATGGTATATTTCTGCAGTTTATATTTTATTAGAGGTTGAGGAGAATATTATAGGCTTGCTTCTTACCACTTAATTTCTTTCTTATGTCACATAAAATTTTGCTAAGCAACCTCAACATCAGTCTCTTTGATATAAATTTAGATTCTGATAAATAAGATCCATAGAGTAATATAAAAGCCAAAGGTAATGATGTCATTAATCACTTTAGTTGTAACTATATTTTCCATGATTATTTTAGAATATTTATTTTCTTTTCAAATATCCATCACCTTAGCATAAGCATCTTACTCTCTCATATGTATTAAATATACCTGCCACAGATGTATGTGACTACTCAATAATGTTTATTCATACTATTCTTTTTTTCAGAAGACTGAAAAAAGTTCTCCTGATGCCCTGTTACTAAAATAGCTGGAACTTTTTGGCTGGCAACTCTTTTCTCTGGACACTTCCTCTTTTATCCATTCTTTGCCAAGTTACGTCTCAAGGCCATTTCAAGTGTCAAAACTTAGCTGACAAATGAATGAGACTGCAAAGGAAGGGACATGTGTATATTGTAAATAATGTCCTTGATGTGAATACATTTATTTTTGTGTATTTGTTTATGTGGAAAAATAATAGCTAATATATTTCATAAGCATTTACTCATTTTGTTTATAAAAATGTATGTGCTCCATGTTTTAAAAATGTGCTTGCCTGAATTCAATATTTCTTTCTAGTAAAGAGTGGATTGAAGAAATTGCTTCTTAGAAAGTGAAATATGAATAGATTGTAGTGTTCTTATCTCCCTATATATCCTATATGATTGATGATAACATTCCCTAGCATCATGAAGAACAATTGAGATGTAATTATGAAACATATAATTTGTCTTTTCTAATTATTCCAATCAATTCATTAAAAGCACAAAATTTAAAGGTCAGTTTATTGTACTCCATTAGTTCAATCAATACTTATTAGTGTTTAATAAGTTGCATTGGATCAATCAAATATTTATTTGTGTCTACTATAAGGTAGATAACCTCCAGCAGCTGCTGATAGGAAAGTTCTAGCTTTCATAGTTAATTCTAGTGAGAGCGGCAGACAAAAAATAACACAGAAATATGTGATGTGCCAGGTGATAAAATTTGTAGCCATAAAACAGTACCTGTGAGACCTGAATGTAGTTAGGCAGCAAACATACAGGAGATATGTAAGAAAAGGAAACTGCTGATGCAAAGACTATGTGTTAGCTACCTGAGAGTACTGTAGCAAATTCCTTCAAACTGGGTGGCTTAAAACAACAAAAATTTATTATCTCAGGATTTTAGTGGCCAGTCTTAGATCAAAATTTCAGCAGGGCCATACTCCCTCTGGAGGCACTTGTAGAGAATTCTTCCTTACTTCTTTCAGCTTCTTGGTTTCCGGCTGCATTGCTCCAGTCTCTTGCCTCTGTCTTCACATTGCCTTCTCCTCTGCCCCAAAGTCTCAGAGAAACCATGGCCCTGTTGATACTTTGATGTCAGACTTCTAGCCTCCAGAATTGTGAGACAAGTTTCTGTTGTTTTAATCCACCCAGTTTTCTGAAATTTTGTAAAGCAAGTCAGGCAAATTAATACAGGCAGGTAACTGAACCAGGTGCAGATGAAACTAGAACTTTAAAGAACACATTTACCCAATAGAGACCGTCTCAGTGCATGCAATAGAAAACTCAAATAACAACTTCTTTTAGATAAATATATACATATCAAAGCTTTATCACATAAGAGGTCCAGGGCTGTTATGGTGGCTGCAGTTTTTCATTAAGTACTCAGGGTCATTGTAGCTATTTTTACATCCTCCATAGGGTGTGGTCCTTATCCGCTTGATTATAAGATCGCTGCCAAGTTTAAATGACACACTGCATTTTAGACTGCTGAAAATAGAAAAGAGCAGGGACAAAATAGGAGTGCCACCTGGACTTACTACCATTGTAGAACATTCCTGAAAGCACCATGTAAATATTTCTGATTATATCTCGTCACCCTCCAGCTTACCTGTCTAGAGAAGGCATAATAGGGATTGTAGTTCTGGGGATGATCACTATGCCACTAAATAAAATCAAATTCTATTGCTGGAAAAAAAGTAGAATGGGTGAAAATTGACGTTGGGTAGCCTCTGCATACTATAATAAGGGTTTGGAATTTTAACAATAGAAACAATCTCTGATGATTTTGAACAGAGGATGCCAAATACCGACCTATATTTTCAATGGTTGACTCTGCATTGATGAATGCAGACCACTAAAGAACAAGGATACATACAAGACCAGTTCAAACATGAGGCCCAGAGATGCTGGCAGCTTAGCCTAAGATGCCTACAGTCTAGGTGAGGAAAAAATGGTGAAAATAGATATGATTCAAAGCATATCTTTGTGTTAAAGTTGACAAGATTTGAATGAGGTACTTGCTAAAATGGGGATTTATAGATGACTGCAGGATATTTTGTCTGATAGCCTGGAAAACTGGAATTGCTAAGCACTTACTGAGATAGGCAGATATTGTGGAAGAAACAAGCCTGATGGTAGAAGTCAAGAGGTCTATTTTGTAATGTTATTTGAGATGCTAGTTACAATTCTAAACATAGATTTTCAATATAAAGAAGAATTTATGAGTCTGAAATTTACAAGTATATCATGATTGGAAATCTATGTTTAAGAATCATTATGTAATGGATTTTTTTGCTTATTTATGTTGTAAAAATGTCAATATGATAAAACATTGATTTGCAAAAGTACAAATATAAAAGTTTAAGTTACTCATAGTATTATCATTAGTATTTTAATCATAATTTTCCAGAATCTCTATATATGTGTTAAGGCAGGCAAATAAAGTAAATTATTATATAGTACACATGAAGAAACTTGTTTTTTGTAATTATTTAACTTACAATTGTCATATAATAATAATTTTAAAAGGATACATTATGCAGCATAGTGCTGAAGACTCTTTAAAAACCAGATTAGAAAAAAACTTTGTTATATGAAAACATCACCTATTAAAAAGTGCTTAAGCTTGATATTGTAAAATGTAGATCATATTGTATTTCTGAAGGCAGTTATTTAATTAGAAAATAGATCAGGATGATTTTCTTTACCTTACTTTAGGGCTCCTGCTCTCTATTTCTTCCCACTTCGAATTGTATTTGAGGGTTGGTCTTTGTTTACTTGGTTATGTTTCTATTCTTGGCGTTTTCTTATGTTGTCCTGTCCAAGGTACATTTTCAAGCAGTTAAGGTCTTCACAATTTATTGTAGGAGCTAAAACATTTCCTTCTGCCATTTTGGATTTTCTTCTTAGCAGGAGGGTTAGAGGTTGTGATTTATTTGCAGCTGGTGGAAGTTGTTCCTCAGTAGGAGCAAATGCTCACAGCAGCCTTAAAACTTGAAAAGATTATTGTCTGTACTCAGAAATGCTTTTTCATATAAAAACGAGGCTTCTGAATGCTACAGATAGCTGCAGGGATTTAAGCTGTAGTTGAAATAATCCAAATATAGTAGCTACAAACTATGAAGGTGTTCTAGAGGAAACATGATTAGGAGTCCTTCATGAACATTCTTCTTTGTTTCCTATGAAAGAAAGGCTTATAATAATAATCAGTCCAAAATGCAAAGATGCATCAATGTGGTGATGTAAACTGCACCATGTATAAAAAACACTTAATTATTTGTATGCATGAATAGTTTTATTTTACTTAAACAAAATTTTAAAATGAGTTATTTTTACTAAGTTTAATATAAAATTCAACTAAACCTCAGAAATTCTATACAAGTGAGCAAGTATGGACGTTTGGTTTGTCCATAATGAAATATATTTCTTTTGTTAAAATAATACAAGCATAATTTTCAGACTGATAATTTGAAAATATGTGTCTCCACTGATTGAACACATTGATATCATGCAATTAAAATGTAAAATAAATTAGGTGATCAATTTACTTGCCGGTTCTACATGCATTTGAACAAGTTACTTGATCCCATTTGGTTTCCTATTTATAACGTGACAGATATTATCAATAATAATTATAGATATTTAGTGAGAATTCTATAGAAGTCCTCAAAATAAATTTACATTTACTTTTCAGGTGTTCCAGTAGGGCCATTTAACAGAGATGCTGTTGGTTCTGTATGATGAGTCACATTTTATTTTTGGATCATTGTGAGTTTCAAATGTGTCATTTGAAAGCCTTCTTGAATGTTTTTATGGTTTAAAAATAGAAGCAGTGATAACTGTCATAGAAATGGATGCTGTTTATTATTATCAACATTGTTAATAAACATTCATGTTGCTTATGTAGAAAGAATTATAAAGCATAACAAAGTTAGCAAAGTCAATGACCAATTAGAAAAATGACTGGGCACCTGGGAAATACTAATAGGAAAACTAGCACATAAACATTGCAACTAGCAGTAGATCTGAAATTGTATTTCTAGATAACTTTAGGCCTGTGGATTGGCCCCTTCGGCTGCCGTCTGCCGGTAGTTACTATGGAAACTCAGTGGCCATCGCTATGTCTCTGCAAAAGACCCCTCCGACCCGGGTGTTCGTGGAACTGGTTCCCTGGGCTGATCGAGGCCGGGAGAACAATCTGATCTCAGGCGGAGTGACGCAACCGGGCCTCCACCACCCCGTCTCCTCAACACAAGCCCAAACTGCGACCCGCGAGGTGCACGTAAGCGGCACCTCAGAAGTGTCTGCGGGCCCCGATCGGGCTCAGGTGGCGGTGCGAGTGAGCAGCACCAAGGAGGTGGCGGCCGAGGCCAAAAAGAGCGTTTGTCGCCGTCTAGATTACATCACACAGAGCCTCCAGCAGCAGGGCGTGCAGGCAGAAAATATAACTGTGACAAAGGATTTTAGGAGAGTGGAAAATGCTTATCACATGGAAGGAGAGGTCTGCATTACATTTACTGAATTTGGAAAAATGCAAAATATATGTAACTTTCTTGTTGAAAAGCTAGATAGCTCTGTTGTCATCAGCCCACCCCAGTTCTATCATACTCCAGGTTCTGTTGAGAATCTTCGACGGCAAGCCTGTCTTGTTGCTGTTGAGAATGCGTGGCGCAAAGCTCAAGAAGTCTGTAACCTTGTTGGCCAAACCTTAGGAAAACCTTTACTAATCAAAGAAGAAGAAACAAAAGAATGGGAAGGCCAAATAGATGATCACCAGTCATCCAGACTCTCAAGTTCATTAACTGTACAGCAAAAAATCAAAAGTGCAACAATACATGCTGCTTCAAAAGTATTTTTAACTTTTGAGGTAAAGGGGAAGGAGAAGAAAAAAAAGCACCTTTGAAATTCCAACCAAATTATATTGTACTTGTATCTTTTTACCTATTTTTATACTTTTTATAATGTTTGCTTTTGTCCTGAATATATATATATATATATATATATATATATATATATATTGTATATTAGATAAGCTATTTCTCTCCAAAATCTACAAGCCTTTGAATATAGTCCCACAAAATTCTTATGTTCACTCTCTATTTTTAAAAGACTACTCTGAAAAACACTCTTGGGAAATAAATGTATTATGTACATACTTAAAAAAAAAAAAAAAAAAAAAAAAAAACTTTAGGCCTGTGAAATAAATGATTTATTTGATATATGAATAAATATGACTAACTTTATATTTTTTATTTTTTACTTGAATTTCAGTGACAGACTATTATCATGATGGATTTAAATCAATGGAAGAGAAAAACAACAAAATTTGCAATGAGAAAAGGAACTCAAAACCCAAATCAAAGTCATTTATAATTGGCAAGTGCAAATCAAATGATCATTTTAAGGATCATTCATCAAACAAGAAGCAACCATTTTCTTCCCAGTAGATCACTTTAGTATAAACAGGGCTTAGAGCTTATACTTTAATTACCTGTGTAGCTCTTAGCTTTCTCAATCTAGTTTCTTTTTAAATATTAAAACACCACTATTTTTATCTATATCTTAAAGTCTAGATTTGAAAAACATCACTCCAGTTACATTTTTTCTTAGATTTTAATTCTGTATCATGTAAATACTCAAAGTATCTAAGCAGACTCTTTTTTTGTTTTTTTAACAAGGTTTCACTCAGTCACATAGGCTGGAGTACTGCAGTGGTGTGAACACAGCTCATTGTAGCCTGGACATCCCAGTGCTCAGGTGATCCTCTCGCCTCAGTCTCCTGAGTAGCTGGGGCCACAGATGCATGCCATTACATGCAGTTAATTTTTACACTTTGTGTAGAGAAAGGGTTTGGCCATGTTGCTCAGGCTGGTCTCAAATTCCTGGGTTTGAGCGATCTGCCTGCCTCTGACAGGGACAGAAGGCAGGGAAATTCTGTGCAGAATTTCTGAAACCACGGCCCAAAGTTAGAACATACATTCTTTTGAAGATTGCCTTTCCCAAAACCACTGATGGCCCATCCACCCCAATCCTGTGCACATAAAAACCCTGAGTTCCATCAGAGGAAGAGAGAGGAGAAGCCGCTGAATGTTGGAGACTGTGGTGGAAGAGAAGTGGCTTTATTTCTGAGGGGCAACCTGATGGCAAAGCTTCAGAGAGAAGTCTGGCCAGGGATGTCTTGACTCCAGGGGAAGATTACCTTCCTGCTGCATTCCCTTTTCAGCTCCCCTTCCTGCTGAGAGCCACTCTCATCAGCAATAAAATCCCTTGAATTTGCCATCCTTCAAATTTGTTTGTGTGATGTCATTCCTCCTGAATGCCAGACAAGAACTCAGGTGCAGGTGCAAAGACGGTCACATTGACCCTCCACTGAGCTGTCAACACTTAAGACATTGGCAGTTGGCAAAGCTAAAAGAGGAGTGACTGTAACACTCCTTCTGGGGCTTCAAGTGTCACGGGCACTCCGTTAGATGCTGCCATGGGGCTAGTATGGAGTTTGTCCCTGCTGGAGCCAAAAAGCATTCACTTCAGCGTCTGCACCCCTCATCTTCTCCTGTAAGGGGTTGAGCACAGTGGGTTTGAATGAGTGGAGTTCTCTTTCTGGTGCCAAAGTAGCTGGCTTATTCTAGCACTCACATTCCAGTTCTCACTCACAAAGGGATCAGGGAAATGTCCTGCTTCACCTCGGGCTCCCAAAGTACTGGGATTATAGGCATGATCCACCATGCCCAGCTTGACTCACCATTCCGTTAAAACACCAAGTTACAACAACAACTTCTCAATTTCTATCATGAATACATTTTAAATAGTTCCAATGTGTCAGTGAATAATATGGGACAACATTAGGGCAGTATATTGGTATGGGCAGAATTGATCCCCACCCTCCAAATGCGTATGTCGAAGTCCTAATCTCCAGTACCTCAAAAAGTGACTGGATTTAGAGATAGTACTTTTAAACAGATAATTAAGGTAAAATTGAAGTTATGTTTGTGGGCCCTAATCCAATAGATCTGATATCCTTTAAAAAAGTGGAAATTTTGACACAGATACAGAGGAAGGATGGTGTGAAGACAAAGGTAAGAGTCACACATCCACAAGCCAAGGAGAGAGCCCTCACGATTAAATCACCTCTGCTAATACCTTGACCCTAGACTTCCAGCCTTCAAACTGTGAAAAAGTAAATTTCTGCCTCCGGTGTGTGGTATTTGTTATGATAACCCACAAACTAATACGTTAAATCATCTTAAATAAAAGAAAGTGCCTAAAATCTACTTATCTGTATACAAAGTTCAGGATGGAAAACAAGAGAATTCATAGTAAGCTGTTTGAGGAATGATAAAAGAAAGGTATGATGTCATTTCCTAACATTCTTTAGCTATGCTCATTTTTATTATTAGATCTAAATTCTTAATATTATAATTAATCATAATTATATTACTGTAATAATATCTATGATTATATATTATAATCTAAATATTGCTATGTGAGTTGAACACTTAAATAATTTTAAGCACTGTCAAACACTATAATGGAAAAACCTTTAACTCCTGGAAAGATTCGTGGTTTTTTTTTTAGATATTGATTCTACTCAGATGATGGTTGACATAAGGTATTCGTATTGATCATATTTTCAAGAACTTCATAATCAATCTTATAAAACATCATTTTTGATTCAGACTAGATCCTGTTGTGGTAAAAATGTTTGTAATCTGCTTAATAGCTCTTTACCAAAGGTTGTTTTTAATGAAGTTGCTATAATAGATGCCCATATCTACCCATTTTGAAGACAGGAGTAGAGTAGAAAAATAGTGAAAGAAAACTCAAGACGCCAGAGTTCTTATTTTTGGTAACAGTATCTAGATACAATTATTTGGGCCAGTAATGACATGATTTATTTTATCTCTTTATCTGCAAATAAGAAATTAAAGCGTATGTTTTATTCCTTTCAGTTTTAAATCCTATATTCTATGGTCTGTTACATAGGTCAGTAAACTTTTCCTGTAAACAGCTAGCCAGTAATTATTTTCACTTTTGTGGGTAATACAGTCTTTTTTGAAAATGCCAACTCTGTTCAATTCTGCTGTTACAGTGCAAAATTAACTATAGATAATATATAGAGAAATGAGCATGGCTATATTTTATAAAACTAAAGATAGGCCAGACGTGGTCTACATGCTTTCGCTTTCCGATAACTAGTTAATGGAGTTTACATACCATAATCCAAAACCTCCCCACACACAGTAGAACAAACAAACACATAATCTACTAAACCATAATAAAGCCCATGATCCAAGTCTCATTGGTAAATACGTATAGTGGAAATTTGTGCAAAGGTATGATTAGGCAAGTTATAAAACAGTAAATTCAAAATAACAAATAAATATTAGTAACAAATATACTTAGTCACACTTCACCATGCAATTGTAAATTAAAGTAAAAATGAAATAATGTTTACCAACCTAAGTTTAGTAAAATTAAAAATTGTGAATACTACTACTTCTTCAGCATTGTAGGTGAGACAAACTGTCATAGATTTCATTAGAAGGAGTAAATTATAATAGCCTTCTTGAAAAGCAATATAATTATTTATTAAAATTAAAAATACATGTTAACACCGAGCAAATCATTCAAAAAGAAACTGAAAATATCAATATTCCCTTTATTATAAAATAAATTGAATGTGTAGTTTAAAATTTTCTATTATAAAAATACTCAAACGTGTTATGTTTAAAGGGCTACTAGAATGTGGTTTATTTCTTGTAATATCTTGAGGATCTGTTAACATTATCTGGGAAGTATTTCTTCATCTTCTAAATTGTATATCTTCTGTATGTAAATAGGTAGATATACCATTTATATGTATTGGAAAATTCAGTTCTCCTCAAAGTGACATGTAGATTCAAAGCAAAACCAATGAAAACATGATAATTTTTTGTAGCTATTTACAAGGTATTTCTTACGTTTATGTAGAAAATGAAATATACAAAGCAATTTTGGAAATAATAAAGTTGGAGTACTCCCATTACCTGATTTCAAAACCTAAAGTGAATGTCACAGTAATCAAGACAGTGTTGTACCAGTGAAAGGATAAAGGCAATGGAACAGAGGAGATTTCAGAAACAGACCCACACAAATATGACCAGTTTGTGTAATGTTTTAAACAAAATTGTACAGAAATGAAAGATCATTCTGGGATTCTTTACAAAACCATTTTTGTTATCTTCCTTTACAAAAGAAAGAGCTAGGAGGTGGTTAAATGTATTAGTCCATTGTCATACTGCTATAAACACATATCTGATATTAGGTACTTTATAAAGATAAATGGTTTGATTGGCTCACATGTCTGCCTGCTGTACAGACTTCTGCTTTTGGTAAGGACTCAGCAAACTTACAATCTCCCTTTCGCTCTATCTCTGTCTCTGGTTCTTCCTGCGCTGATGTGGTTGTGGAAGCGGCAATGAATGCAGGGGATAGAGTCCATGGCCTTTTCTTCCTTAAGTTTGTTCTTTTTTTGTGCTTCTTATCCTTTTAAAAAATGTCTTCCCTTTTTAAATCTTGTTTTCTTTAAACTTTTGTTGTGATTCAAATTTTACGGTCATGGTAGGCTTGGTGTTGGGATTTTTGCCTTTCTAAGTAGTACAGTAAAAACTACTGTAAAACTGGTAATGGATGACTTAGACTAAACAGGGCTGAAGGTTGCTTTGTTTTGTTTTGGTTGATGAATCATAAAATTCTTAAATAAATACAGAGTATGAGACCCTCTTTACAGGCTGAAAGCTTGTTGACGCAGCTATTATTTTGTCTTCTTGGATCCTGGCGTCATGGATCTAGTACTTGGAGATGTGGTATGATGCTGTTGCTACTACTCTTAGTACAGGCATCAGGTGGAGAAGAAACACGGAAGGGGCTTA